CGTATTGGTGTTTGTGGTTGTGGTTGGGTTTGTTGTTAGGTTTTTGTTTTCCTTTGCTTTTTTGATTGTTTTTTCTTTGTGTTTGTATTGGTGTTTGTGATTGTGGTTGGGTTTGTTGTTAGGTTTTTGTTTTCGTTTGTATTTGTAATTGTGTTAGCATTATGTTTGCGTTTTGTTGTTTTGGTTGGTTGTGGTTTGGGTGGGCAATGCCGGGTTTATGATGATTACTAAACACACAGGTAATGGTCTTTAACAGAAAGGTTTTTCACAGAAGCCAGAGCAGGGCCTGGCCGGGACGGCTAGTATCCTTATAATTTGTACTAAATTAAAATATAGCATGATGCGCACTAAAATGAAATATTGCTTTGATGTTACGTAAAATAAAACACTGCTATAATGCGGACTGAAATAAAGATCAGCTTGAGATGGAACGATTCCTATACTGAGCAGCAATTGTTTTAACCCATGTCGTGGTGACACAATGTCTCCACAACTTAATAGCGGGGCTGTCTCGGGAAGGGGGGGGGGGTCTGGACTTGACACAATGATGAATTCAATCTGTTTGAAATGAGTGATTGTGTGATACGGGGGTCACGTGTCCTCTTGAGTCAGGGCCGTAGCTCCAGCTGGCTCTACAGCCACCAGTCGCTGAGCCGTATTTTATTGAATGTTGGCTCTATTTATGCCTGGGCCTTCTCGTAAAGTTGGCTCTATTTGTGCCTGGGCCGTCTTGTACAGTTGGCTCTATTTGTGTCTGGGCCTTCTCGTAAAGTTGGCTCTATTTGTGCCTGGGCCTTCTCGTAAAGTTGGCTCTATTTGTGTCTGGGCCTTTTCGTAAAGTTGGCTCTTTTTGTGCCTGGGCCTTCTCGTTAAGTTGGCTCTGTTTGTGTCTGGGCCGTCTTGTACAGTTGGCTCTATTTGTGTCTGGGCCTTCTCGTAAAGTTGGCTCTATTTGTGTCTGAGCCTTCTCGTAAAGTTGGCTCTATTTGTGTCTGGGCCTTTTCGTAAAGTTGGCTCTATTTGTGCCTGGGCCTTCTCGTTAAGTTGGCTCTGTTTGTGTCTGGGCCGTCTTGTACAGTTGGCTCTATTTGTGTCTGGGCCTTCTCGTAAAGTTGGCTCTATTTGTGCCTGGGCCTTCTCGTAAAGTTGGCTCTATTTGTGTCTGGGCCTTTTCTTAAAGTTGGCTCTTTTTGTGTCTGGGCCTTCTCGTTAAGTTGGCTCTATTTGTGTCTGGGCCTTCTCGTAAAGTTGGCTCTATTTGTGTCTGGGCCTTCTCGTTAAGTTGGCTCTATTTGTGTCTGGGCCTTCTCGTAAAGTTGGCTCTATTTGTGTCTGGGCCTTCTCGTTAAGTTGGCTCTATTTGTGTCTGGGCCTTCTCGTAAAGTTGGCTCTATTTGTGTCTGGGCCTTCTCGTAAAGTTGGCTCTATTTGTGTCTGGGCCGTCTCGTAAAGATGGCTCTATTTCTCTGACCCCCATTACTACATATAACATGATAGTACGGTAAGTTCAATCCCCATCCTTTTCCCAATGAAGCTAATCCAATGATACCACAAAGGTCGTGGTTTCTATTCCCAACTAGACTAAAAAGGATGTCCCTGAGGCCACCCAGCAGTGTGATACCAATTCGGTTTGGGTAAAGTCAAGCTACAAATAAGGTAAACATTAACTTTGAATGTTTTAAATGGTTTATCACGCTACACAATATGTAATAGTTAAATGAACCAACTGGCACTAGTTTCTAGTGTCCTTGTTTACCTATATCATGGAATGAGGTCTAAGTAAATGTATCATGTTCAGCATAATACATTGGACGGAGAAGCTAGTCTCTGATACAAATCTCACATCAGATGGAGAAGCTAGTCTCTGATACAAATCTCACATCAGATGGAGAAGCTAGTCTCTGATACAAATCTCACATTAGATGGAGCAGCTAGTCTCTGATACAAATCTCACATTAGATGGAGCAGCTAATCTCTGATACAAATCTCGACTTGATCCCCTGGAGAGCAACACCAGTCACAACTACAATGCAAATCTACAGATTGTTCGTGCCAGCATCGATCTCTATTCTTCTCCGACTACTGAAATTGCGATTATAGTTTTTGTGCTTAAAGTGCTATCATACTTGCAGACACTGGGGAAATCGACACTGCTTTTCTGCGTTAAAATAATCGAATGCAGTTAAATAAATAAAAGTGCATCCCCTAAAGGGTCAACGTAAACAACGAATACATGAATAATATGTAATCGACTACTACCAAGTCGACTCGATACCCACGGTAAGAAGCGTGTTGTAAATTATTTTTGAAATCTGTAAAGATTGGCTTGGGAAATGTTTTAATTATTTCTTCCACGGCGTAATGAAATTAGATGTAACAGGCAGTGGAATGTGCGGAATTATGGTCGGTTGGTTTGGTGGGTTTTATGTACAGGTTTAGGGTTGGTTTGGTGGGTTATGTGTACAGGTTTAGGGTTGGCTTGGTGGGTTATGTGTACAAGTTTAGGGTTGGTTTGGTGGGTTATGTGTACAGGTTTAGGGTTGGTTTGGTGGGTTATGTGTACAGGTTTAGGGTTGGTTTGGTGGGCTATGTGTACAGGTTTAGGGTTGGCTTGGTGGGTTATGTACAGGTTTAGGGTTTGATTGGTGGGTTATGTGTACATGTTTAGGGTTGGTTTGGTGGGTTATGTGTACAGGTTTAGGGTTGGTTTGGTGGGTTTTATGTACAGGTTTAGGGTTTGATTGGTGGTTTATGTGTACATGTTTAGGGTTGGTTTGGTGGGTTATGTGTACAGGTTAAGGGTTGGCTTGGTGGGTTATGTGTACAGGTTTAGGGTTGGTTTGGTGGGTTATGTGTACAGGTTTAGGGTTGGTTTGGTGGGATATGTGTACATGTTTAGGGTTGGCTTGGTGGGTTATGTGTACAGGTTTAGGGTTGGTTTGGTGGGTTATGTGTACAGGTTTAGGGTTGGCTGGGTGGGTTATGTGTACAGGTTTAGGGTTGGTTTGGTGGGTTTTATGTACAGGTTTAGGGTTGGCTTGGTGGGTTATGTGTACAGGTTTAGGGTTGGCTGGGTGGGTTATGTGTACAGGTTTAGGGTTGGTTTGGTGGGATATGTGTACAGGTTAAGGGTTGGCTTGGTGGGTTATGTGTACAGGTTTAGGGTTGGCTTGGTGGGTTATGTGTACAGGTTTAGGATGAGTACAAGTGAAAGATTGGGCAGAGAATTATACGGGATAAAGTTAGGTAGATCAAGGTTAAGTAGGGCGAGGTGAAGTAGGTCAAGGTCAAGGTGTGGTAGTACCTGGCGGCGAGTTAAGACAAGGTTAAGACAAGAAAAAGGAAGGGTTAATGGAATTTGTGAAAGTTAATTTACGAGGTCCCATAGGACAACTTGGAAGCACAGGGCAGTAGAAAGTTTATTTTTTTAAAGTTTAAACCTAGGATTCTTAAAATTCCACGCAGTAAAATAAAGCTATTACACAGAATTTTCTTCCTTAAACAGATCAAGTAAACAAAACAAGGGGATTTCTTTTAATTCAACTACAAAATTGAACAATTACATTTATTTTTCGGTCATAGGATCCCACCATTGCTGGCCCAGAATTTAATAACGTTTTCGATTACGGGTCTGTATTCCCCAGTAACACAATTAACCCTAACCTCGTTAATTCTATGGCTCCAAAAATTGGCGGTGTCTCTGTACACGTCAGCAAGATCATTAAGTACAAACAATTAAAACTTGATTTTGTGTCAGCGGTGCTACCGTACGTGCGATTGCTTACAACGAAACGTTACTATTTGTGCTTTACAAGCTCGTGCTTGCTTTACAGTGTCATTGTATGAGTTTTACATACTTGTGCTTGCCTTACAAATATACTTGGTCTTGCTTTACGACTACACCTACTGGTGCTTGCTTTACGACTGTACTTTTCTTGCTTTACGACTATACTTGTCTTGCTTTACGACTATACTTGTCTTGCTTTACGACTATACTTGTCTTGCTTTACGACTATACTTGTCTTGCTTTACGACTATACTTGTCTTGCTTTACGACTATACTTGTCTTGCTTTACGACTATACTTGTGCTTTTTACACGTAACATGTATGCTGAACGGCAAATAAATGTGAGCTTGCGGATGAACCAGCGTGTGTCTTTACAACCAAATTTTAAACAGACGTGCTTTGTACGAAACCAGTATTGTAATACATGTTAACTGTATTACAGTTGTTCAAATTAAAAAAAAACAATGTTTTAAACATCAACTTACTACAGTTGTCCTACAAACATCTATTTACTGCAGTTGTTCTACAAACATCAACTTACTGCAGTTATCTTACAAACATCAACTTACTACTATTGCTCTACAAACATCAACTTACTGCAGTTGTCCTACAAACATCAACTTACTACCATTGCTCTACAAACATTAACTTACTGCAGTCGTCCTACAAACATCAACTTACTACAGTTGTCGTACAAACATCAACTTACAACAATTGTCCTACAAACATCAACTTACTACAGTTGTCCTACAAACATCAACTTACTGCAGTCGTCCTACAAACATCAACTTACTACAATTGTCCTACAAACATCAACTTACTGCAGTCGTCCTACAAACATCAACTTACTGCAGTCGTCCTACAAACATAAACTTACTGCAGTCGTCCTACAAACATCAACTTACTGCAGTTGTCCTACAAACATCAACTTACTGCAGTTGTCCTACAAACATCAACTTACTGCAGTTATCCTACAAACATCAACTTACTACCATTGCTCTACAAACATCAACTTACTGCAGTTGTCCTACAAACATCAACTTACTACTATTGCACTACAAACATCAACTTACTATCATTGTACTACAAACATCAACTTACTACCAATGCACTACAAACATCAACTTACTGCAGTTGTCCTACAAATATCAACTTACTGCAGTTGTCCTACAAACATCAACTTACTACCATTGAAATACAAACATCAACTTACTGCAGTTGTCCTTGTGTTTCAGCAACTCTGTAATCTCGACTCTCTTGTTGAAAGATCCAGAGTACAAGTCGGCCATCAATGTGTCACCTGGCAACAGAGAGAGTAAGGATAAGTTAGTCACAAGCGAGAGATTGAGGATAAGTTAGTCACAAGCGAGAGATTGAGGATAAGTTAGCCACAACAGAGAGACTGAGGATAGGTTAGTCACAACAGAGAGGTGGATTATAAGTTAGTCATATATCAAGAGAGAGATTGATAGATAATCACAGAACATAGAAATCGACAAGTTAGTCAGCTCGCCGTAGAAAATATTATAATGAGTTGATCAACTAGCACTGATGAATATAATAAGGGTAATTAATTAAGCGCGTAGGCGAGGAATAATCAACTTGATTTAATAATTCTGGCGACGTAAAGAAAACTAATTTCTCTGATGCAATACAAAGATCTTGTGCTTACATAACTCAATGAAATAGTAGCATTAACATATTTGTGTGATTATAATTTACTTAGTGGACCTACGTGTGTTGGCTTCAAGATAAAGCTGTAAAACTCGTTAATCGACACATAACAGGTTCCATGACAAATAATCTCAGGACAAATAATCTCAGAACAAATGAAATCAGGACAAATGATCTCAGGACAAATGATCTCAGGGCAAATGATCTCAGGACAATGATACCATGGACAAATGTTTCAGGACAAGAGGTCTCAGGAAAAATGATACTATGGACAAATCAAATCGATTTTAATATGTTTAAAAAAATTTTTTTTAACACTATTCAAATGTTGCTGTAAGATATTATGTCTGAGATCATTTGTCCTGAAATCATTTGTCCATGGTGTCATTTGTTCCTGACATTATTTGTCCTTGATATATTCTGTCAGGGGTATTTTGTCTGATATATTTTGTCTGATATATTTTGTCCTGATATATTTTGTCCTGATATCATTTGACCTGAGATCATTTGTCCTGATAACTTTTGTCCTGTGATCATTTATCCTAAAAACTTTTGTACTGAGATCATTTGTCCTGAGATAATTCATTTTGTCCTGTCACACAGTCAACGTAAAAACAGTTTACAACATGAGTATGGATATAAGCTACGGCTAAATATTTTTGAATAGATTTTCTGTCAATTTTTTGTTCTTTGTTGAAAAACATTCGAAGCATTATGACTGAGGTCATGAGCCCGCAGTATTTGTTATGTAAGAAAGAGGAAATGGTTGCACTACGGCTGGAGACGGGAAGAAAGAGGAAATGGTTGCACTACGGCTGGAGACGGGAAGATTTCATCACTGACCCAGACAAGTAGAGATAGACGGTCAGTGACGGTAAGAAAATTAATGAGGTTGGGCCAGGTTTGGTGAGGTTGGGTGGGTGGGGTTGGGTGAGGTTGGGTGAGGTTGGGTGAGGTTGGGTGAGGTTGGGTGAGGTTGGTTGGGTGAAGGTGGGTGGGGCTGTGTCTGGGTGGGGGTGGGTGGGGCTGCCAGTGAGGTGAACCTTGTGCACGGTCCACAGCTGACTGAACTGTCATTAAAACTTACGAGGTGGACCACCAAGTGATGAAGACAAGACGAGATGGACCACCAAGTGATGAAGACAAGACGATATGGACCACCAAGTGCTGAAGACAACTTGACCAGGTGGACCACCAAGTGCTGAAGACAAGACGAGATGGACCACCAAGTGATGAAGACAAGACGAGATGGACCACCAAGTGCTGAAGACAACTTGACCAGGTGGATCACCAAGAGATGAAGACAAGACAAGATGGACCACGAAGTGATGAAGACAAGACGAGATGGACCACCAAGTGATGAAGACAACTTAACCAGGTGGACCACCAGGTGATGAAGACAAGACGAGATAGACCAGCAAGTGCTGAAGACAAGACGAGATGGACCACCAAGTGATGAAGACAACTTGGTCAGGTGGACCACCAAGTGCTGAAGACAACTTGGTCAGGTGGACCACCAAGTGATGAAGACGAGACGAGATGGACCACCAAGTGCTGAAGAAAAGACGAGATGGACCACCAAGTGATGAAGACAAGACGAGGTGGACCACCAAGTGCTGAAGACAACTTGACCAGGTGGACCACCAAGTAACAAGGAAACAAATTGCAGTGGTGTTTTTTTAATGCTAATGTATGAAAACAAAAATAAAACCAAAGTACAAAGAAAAAAAGTCAGTTAAAATATTTCTGAATTCTAATAGTATTTTACTAATCGTTACCTGCATGTCCTTGAGGCGTTTTTTTTGTATTATTTATTTTACCATGAACTTGGTCGAAAACAAAACAACAATAAGTAGATCATTTAAATGTAACACATTTAAGATACCCCCCACTACCATCAGAGCTGTTATTCAAACTATTCCGACCAAAAACCAATCAAGCTCCGCTCTGTCTTGAGATAATTACAGAATGTTCCTTCCCCTAGATGTCGCCTCAAGCGCCAACACCCGCTACTAAATCAGAGACGACGTAATAATTAACACGTAGTGGGATATAGATCGATTCTAATCTGAAGACGTTCAACAGATTGATAGAAATATAAAAACTCCGACACATTGATTAAAATATGAAGACGTTCTATATGTTTATTAAAATCAGAGGTCTAACATACTGATTAAAATATGAAGACTTTCAATATATTCATTAAAATCAGAAGTCTAACATACTGATTAAAATATGAATAGAGGGGTCGTCCATAAATGACGTCACACTCGTAGGGGGGAGGGGGGTCCGTAATTTTGTGACTGTGTGTGATGAGGAGGGTGGGGGGGGGGGGGTCAGATGGTGCGACGTCACACTTTTGCATTATAAAAAAGCAATGTTAGAAAACGAAATGTAGACGTTATTTCGCGTTTTAGAATACTGTTTTAATAAATTGTAATAGGAATTGATTAAAATACAAGATTTTAGAGAAATATCGATGTTAAAAAAAAATTCAACTGCAATTTTGAGGGGGGTTGTAGGCTGAAAAGTGACGTCATTTTAAGGGGGGGGGGGTCTGGCTTTTTGTGACGACGTGTGACGGAGGGGAGGGGGGAGGTAAAAATTGTCAAAAAGAGCGTGACGTCATTTATGGATGACCCCAGATCGATTAAAATCAGGAGTAGTTTAAAATCCACTAAATCCGCCAGAGTACAGACACTAAGACTCGTGTTCGTTTACAGACAAAATGGAGATTAATTCCCTCATACAGGAATCATGGATCGTAGTAGCATTAATAAGATTGAATTTTTTTAAAATTATTATTTTAGACGAATACACATACACACTCACCCAGTCAACATATTATATATATATATATATATATATATATATATATATATATATATATATATATATATATATATATATATATATATGGTATGCTAGCCATATATATATATATATATATATATATATATACTAGGCATGCTGCCCAGCTTCGCTTAGGCTTTCAAAAACATTGAGAATTTGAATGCTTAATTAATTCGCCCGAGGGTCGGTCTACGACCTCAGGAGTTATGAAGAGGTTCCTACGTGGACAATTTTTTTCGATTTATAGCTCATATAAGGCGCCGGTCAGTCGAGTTCAGTTTTGACCCCCTCACCGGCCCCCTGTTCTGTTGCACTAAGGCAAGATCCTGCCAAATTTGAAGCGCCTGCGGCGCCGGGAAGTGCCCTATCGGGCACCCGACAACTTTGCTTTATATATTATAGAGATTTGCAAATTGCATAGATAAACAAAGATTCCAATAAAGTAATTAAGGCCTGAAATACTTTAGTATAGAAATGTATTATTTGAATAGATTCTAGATCTAGGTAGGGTCTACATCTGTGTAAGTCTAGTTTTTCCGTAGATCTAGATCATCTAGATCTAGATCTAGAATCTCTAGATCTAGAATCTCTAGATCCAGATGATCTAGAATCTCTAGATCTAGATGATCTAAAATATCCTAGATCTAGAATCCTAATAGAATTTTTTTTTAAAGTTTAGCCCGAGCAAAATAAAAAATAAATAAATAACCAAGTATGACTTGGTGTGTCTCGAACCCGTACCACCTGCGTGATTTAAGTACACTATCATCTCAGCTATTTAGGCACCTCAGAGGCACGGAGAATGAAAGACGTATTTTAAAATCTTAACTTACGCGAATATGCCTATTCTTTCAAATTAGTTTTTTTTTATCCCAAATTAGCCAGTTCCAAACAAAGTTTTTATATAAAATTAAGTTTTGAAATAGTTTTGTCCTAATATAGAAATTTATTTTTGGAATAGATTTTAGAGTAGTTAGAGTCTAAATCTAAATCTAGATCTTAGCGTCTACGTCTAGTTATTGCGAATCTAGAATATCTAGATCTAGAATCCAAATAAATAAAATAAATTTTATGAGCTTAGGCCGAAAAAATTGTATTGTATACATTTCATAGTGTACGTAGATCTAAATCAAATTTGAATGAAATAGTTCATTTCTTTTTATTCTAAACACGGCAGATGACGTCATTAGTTAATGTATAAACATTAGTGACGTCACAGTTTTATGCGTTCTTTTTCACATCTATAAATGCTTTTCCTGTTGCATAAATAAAATTGTTTTTCTACAGTTGAATACGCCTTTATTTTATATTTTTCTTCTTTAAATAAAATTGTGGTTATACATTTAAAACATCTAACATATTATTTTCAACAAAAGTCCGTAAAAAGTTCTTGATATATCGCTGTAGATTCTGATGTGATGTCCGGCGAAAATATTTTGCGGACAGACAGAGAGAGAGAGAGAGAGAGAGAAGTGCGAACGTGGCCTATTATAGATTTATATATATATATATATATATATATATATATATATATATTGAAATACTTCTGTGAATTGTCTACTATATTCCAGAATCGTTAGTATATTCTGATACTGTTCTATTGATTATCCTACAGTAACGTAACTCAACTGACTATTGACTATCATCTGACCCGTAAATCTGACATGGTACAAAGGAACCTGACATCCCATTACATTCACGTCGTATGGCCAGTCTAGCAAGGGGTCAACGGAATCTGCATATAGCCGCATCACTAATCAGGTGACCTGCGGA